TAGAAATGCATTAATTTTATTTATAAAAGCTAGCTAGAAACAAGCCTAAGCTAAGGCCAAGCATTCATAGTTAATAAGTCTCTTTGTTGTGATTTGGGGGCTGGCAGTCTAAGGAAGCCTCCTACATCTTTTCAATTACATTGTAAATTTCAGAACAAAAGTCATCTATTATATATTTTTGTTATGACCTTCCCTGGTGTTTAATACTAGTCATAAGAAAAGTTAGTAGAGCCTTCCTGACTCCATGAATGCATAGACAGAAATGAACAAGTTGGGTCTCAAACACCTACTTCTTGTATGACCTTTAAAGCTGAGACACCATTTCGTACTCTTGACCTTAGTAGGTGTATGTGTCCTAGGAATATCCAGGGTCTAATATGACCTCTCTATATGACTCTTAAGTGGGACACAATATAATTAAATTATCTCAAAAAATAAGAGACTGAACAAGATACAACTCTTTCTTTCTCCAAGATGTTATTCAATACCGTCTTCTTCTCTAGGTATTCCTACATTGATTCTATCAAATTCCACAAACACCATCTTTCTTGGGATGGCAATTAAGTGCCACTACATGGGTAGGGGTGGTGGGTTACAGAACCTTTAACAGTGATCCCAGACATCTTCCTAACAATTCTAATTGGATTTGCTCTGTTTTTTGTTTTGAGTAGAAAGATACACAACTTCTAGAATGCATCTCATTACTTCGTATAGCTCATCACATGGTCTTCACCTATCACCTGGCAGATGTGTGTTATGGCTGTTAATGCTGTATCAACCTGGGACAGCAGCTGGCAAGCACTGGGAAATAACTGTATTTCTCCAAGCATGTTTATAATAAAGAGGTGGATGAAACATAACAACAACAATGACAAAAGTACAGAATTTCTCCCTTCTTGAGGACTGGAGTGAAATCTTTTCCTTCTTAGTAACTATATTAGGAGGTGATTGATCCCAGACAACCAGTCACACCATGTGTCTGGCTACATAGTTTTTCATTTGTAGGTACATAGAGGCTTCATTACTCTCAGAATTGAACACAACCGAAGATTTTAAAGCAAGGTTATCAAAATTCATTAAAGAAAATTATCTCCTTTAAAAAATCCGTAAGGCACCTGGCAGTAGGACCAGGATTTATCCCTGGTGCATGAGCTAGCTTATTGGAGTCCATTCCCTATGGTGGGATGTCATGCCCAGCCCTAATGTAGTGGGGAGTGGCTTGGTCCTACCCAAACTTAATGTGCCAGACTTTGTTGACATCCCATGGGAGCCCTTACCCATTGGGAGGAGTGGATGGGGTTTGGGCTGCTGGTGGTAAATAGTGGGGGGGGGAGGGGAAATGTGGGGCAGAACTGTGGATGGAATGTAAAATAAAATTAAATAAATTAGAGTTGGTCAATGGTGACACATACCTTTAATCCCAGCACTCAGGAGGCAGATGCAGGCGGATCTCTGTGAGTTTGAGGCCAGCCTGGTCTACAGAGTGAATTCCAGGACAGACTCCAAAGCCACAGAGAAACCCTGTCTTGAAAACAACAGCAATAACAACAGAAGCAGCAGCAACAACAACAAAATGAAAAAGATAAAAAATGAAATCTTATTTAGAAAGGTCATATAAAACATTAAGATATGCTGATAAACAAGTGGATGCATCTAGAAAACGTCATATTGAGTGAGGTAACTCAGACTCAGAAAGACAAATGTCATATGTACTCACACAGAAGTGGCTTTTAGACATAAAGCAAAGAAAACAAACCTACAGTTCACAATCCCAGAGAACCTAGACAATAATGAGGACCCTAAGAGAGACATCTATAGATCTAATCTACATGGGAAGTAAAAAAAGACAAGATCTCCTGAGTAAATTGGAAGCATGGGGACCATGGGAGAGGACTGAAGGGGAGGGGAGAGAAAAGGAAGGGAGCAGAAAAAAATGTATAGCTCAATAAAATCAATGAAAAGATATGCTATTAAAATAATATTAGAGTTTTTTAATTGTATTATTTTGATATCTAAAAGCTTTTTGCTTTGGCTTTAAAAATGTTCTTAACAGCATAGTTAAACATATAATTCTTTTCCTTCTTCCTTCCCTTTCTTTCTTCCTTGTTCCTTCAGCCCAAGAGACTTACTGTGTCACTCAGAGTAGCCTCACACCTGGAAACCTCCTGCCTCAGCATCCTGAGTACTAGAATTATGCCACACTTGGTTATGCCATAATTGTTGACAAACCTAAAGGGGAAAATTCAATTTCTCTTGGATTATCAGGGAGTTAAACTATTTGCATTGATATTCTCTTTTTATGTCCTTCTATTGATGCAACCTTGGGGTACTCTGTTGAATAGATGCCCTGAAAGTAGCCACAGATCCTTTTTAAACCATCTTCAGATATTAAGGATTTACATAGTGTTTTTAAGTCTCAAAAATCTACTACATGACAGCTACAAGTGTTCTGCAGATACTTTCCATTTCTATCTGTTGTCTGATTGATCTCTTATCCTAATAGTTAAATTATGGGCATCTCTGAGTATCACATACAGTAAAATCGGTATTATTTGACTTAACATATATTTACTGTGATCTATGCTAAGCCATTTTCATCTTCTTTTATCCTGATTTCTTTCCTCTTTACCTTCAAATCCCTCCGCTAAGAATTTCAGCTTAGTACTTTGGCTTTGAACACACTCACATTCATCATCATCATTACCATCATCACCACCACCACAGCCAGCAATTCTTTCTCTGTAATCTCTATCTGCTACAGCGTAAATCTCCAATGTATTTACTCCCATCCATCCCCATCCTTACCGTTATAACTCATTCCAACCTGAATACAGAACTTGTCAGTAGTACCTGTTACTCTGTCTCCTGTTAAGACAGTTTCCTGGTTCTCTATACAAAAGATTGATACTAACATTTCAGCTTGGCATTTACGCTCTCCCCGTTACAACCATCCACCTACCTTTCAAACCTCATCTACTATTGTCATTCACATAGTCACCCTAGAGACTGACAGATCACTGTTCGCTGAGAACAGTGTTCTTTAGCCTCTAGGCCATGTACCTGCCACTCTCTGACAGGATAACCTCTCCTGCATCTGTTTTTAGGAACCTGACATTTTAGGTACATCTCTAACATGGCCTTTTTCACAGCATCTTCTCTGATCATCTCAAAGAAATGAATTTATCCTCTCAAAGCTTTAGAGTACTCCTTTCTTGCCTTATCCATTTATTTATTTTTAAAATAGTGATTTTCATGTACATATACTCTCATGTAAAACACAATAAATTCTCTTAAAGCAGAAACTGGTGTACGTTGCCCAAAACAAATACAGTATTTGTATTCTAGGATACCATAAATGCTAAAGCTCATAGAGGTAGCCAATTTACTAGAACTTGTTGCATTATGAAAATGTACTAAAGAGATTATGTTAAGAAGATATAAATAGCACTAAGGTAAGAGGAACAGATCACACATTTGGGTCCAGACTTTAGTTCATTATAGTTGTATCTAATCAGCAAGTTAAGTGTGGGAATTCAGGTAATCTACATAGGCTCATAGCCAGCGGATACTTTCAAACTGACGGTTACACTAAATGATTTATAAAATTCTTGATCTTGACTATGAAGGAGGATAGGATGAAAAAATTCAACCTACTTGCATCCAGTTTATCTATTATGCAACCTATGTACATAAAAATAATTTTAAAAAGATTTTATATATATATGTGTGTGTGTGTGTGTGCACGTGTGTGAATGCTCACACACATGCAGAAACATACATGTGGATCCCCCCTTGGGGGCTGCAAGAGGATGTCGAATCCACTGGAGCTAGAGTTAAAGGTGATCAACAAGCTGCCTGATGTGATGGGAATTGAACCTATAGTCCCCTACAAGAACAGTATGTACTCTTTATGGCTGAGGATTCCCTCTAGTCCTTGACTTAGAATAATTAGTTATTTATTTTTATGTGCATAAATGTTTGGTCTGCATGTATGACTCTGTACTGCATGCATGCCTGGTGTCCATAGAGGTCAGAAAAAGAAACTGGATATCCCAGGACTGGAGCTGCTATGTGGGTTCTGAGAACCCAATCCTAGTTCTCTGAAAGACCAGCCAGTGCCCTTAACCACAGAGCCATCTCTTCCATCACAGACCTTGAATTCTTAACATTTGCCTTTCCCCATTCCCTCCACCCCCTTTCTCCTTTTTTCCCCTCCATCTTTCTTCTCTTCTGATATACTAGATTTGTGTTAATTCTGGAATATGATTTTTGAACCAGAAGTGGAACAGATTATTCGAGGCTATACCAAAACTGGTCTTGAGAGAAGAAACAGTTTGGAGAGATTAAGAAGAGGCTTTGGTGGAGAAGCGTGGGATCTAGTTGCTAGAGCAGAGAAATGTAAGTGTAGTGCAAATACAAGGTGAATGGGTGCTGTAACAAAACCTCGGTAGACAACATACTTTTCAAGAAAGCAGTCCACTTGTCTTACACAATGTCTATTCATTATTTTGGTGTTATGAAAGCATTTTAGGAGAATGGGAATTCCTTACAAACAGACAATGGCTGTACTGAGAGTAATAATATTTAAGGTTGTTATGGCAATTGCACATTGGGGATTGAGTTACCTTTAATAGCTATCCACTCATTTTTGTACTTTTGATCTACTTATGCATCCATTCATCGTCTCACCCACTCACAGACTAGTCTAAAGTCCCGGAGGTGCATACTCATCAACTCTGTGAAACAGATGAGGTGATGGGAGAAGAGGCACAGAGAGGAGGCAAGTCTAAGTCCAAGCAGGGCAGTCCTCGTTGGATCTGTCACTGCATTCTCTAGATGCTTTTCTGGCCCGCTTCTTCTCGGGAGCTCTCTTGCCAGCTGCCAATCATCTACATAGTCTATTACACTGACTGACACAAAGCAATGGCATGATGCCCTTTTTTGTATAAAGCCATAGTTAATAATTATTCTATCCTGAGCATGGAGCACATGGGACTCACTGTTCACGAAGACGGCAAACCTCAGGAAGGACAGGTAACGTTCCCCTTCAATGGGGTTCCAGCCAACGTCCGGGTATCCTTTGGCCAGAAGCATGGGGCAGCTCTGAAGGCCACAACCTGCCAAGTAGGTTACCACCTGCCAAGAACAGTACAAAAGTGATGAATATCTATGTATATTCAGTAGGATGACTACTGTGTTAAAAATTACAAATAAACAGAAAATAAAAAGAAAACAAGTTTCAATAAAGGAAACTTGGATCTGCTTAGCAAGCCCTGGTGAAAAGAATGGAAATGAGCCACCATGGCAAACAGGAGTGCTGTTTTTTAAAAAATAATAAAATATCGGATTACCATATGATCCAGAAATTTCACTCCTGGCTCTATACACAACAATTACAAATAAGATCTTGACAGATCTACAATCCAAATTCACAGCAGCACTGTCCCTAACTGCTAAAAATATAAAAGAAACCTAAATATCTCTCAATGGGCAATTGGGTAAGAAAAATATGGCATATGCAGATAATACATTGTAATCAGCCTTAGAGAGGAGGGACTTCTCATAGGCTAGGCCCGCATATTGGACGATCCTTGAAGATACATTAAGTGAAATAAGTCAGTCATGCAAAGAAAATACTGTGTGACTTTAACTCAGGAAAAACCACAGCAGTCAAAACCATATGGGCAGAAAGAAAACTGGCAGTTGCCCGGGGCTGCAGGGAGGAGGGAGTTGCTGGCAAATGGGCAGAGTTTGTTTGATGAAATGGAAGGAGTGATGAGATGAATGTGGTTCTGGGCGCGTAGCATTATAAAAGGCCTCAGTGACTCTGAACTGCACACTTGAAAATGGCGAGGGGAGTAAATTATGCATTTTGTCACAATGAAAATAGAAAACCCCATGCATTCAAGGCCAAGCTCATGTTAAAATCCCCCTTGAATGAGCCGTGAGAGCTGCATTTCTAGGAACTGGATGATTCTGATTTCTAGAAACTAGAGAGAGCCTGGATATTTTTAATGCCCCTACCAAATAATTACATACTTTTTCTTATAATCTTATAATCGAGGGCTCAAGTGCAGCACAGCCCCCCCTTCTTTGGGGGTATATAATTTAGTAGATTTGGAACCAGAACCTCCAGTCCACATTTGCTCGCAAGTAATCAACAAGATTATGATCATGAGAATAAATTGTCAGTTTGTAGGTTTCCTCACCTCCAAAAAGAGGAATTTGACCAGTCTGTAAGTTGAATAGTGGCACATGCCTAGAATCTCAGCATTCTGGAGTGGGTCAAGGCACACAGAGAACCTGAAGGTAGCCTTGTGCTCCATGAGGTCTTGTTTTTTTTTTTTTTTTTTTTTTTTTTTTTTTTTTTTTTTTTTTTTTTTTTTTTTTTTATTATTTATATAGTTTTAGGTAAGGACAGTTTATTTGCAAGCATATAAGCGTGTGGAAAGTTACAAAGATACGAGAGCGCGCCTTGTGGGGCCAAGGTTGGCAATGCTCCCTTGACCTTGGTAATCCATGGTCTTTTTGTGGTACTTGGGTAGCCAGGGGTCCTGACTCGAGCTCTGGATCAACAACACCGTTTGATGCCAAAGGCCAAGATGCTAAGTTTGGGGTGGCCAAACAGAGGCAAGCTAAAAATTAAATTGGCAATGGTCTCTTTGCTTTTAGACTGCCAGACACGGCTCGTGAGATCTCAGGCTGTGAGTCACAGACTCCAGATTTTGCCCACGTTTTGCCAGAAACCAGGGACAGATACCAGCAAACCAGCTGCTGCTGAGGATTGAACTGCCACACTGCTTTTGACTTTGGTATTTTGTGGATATGTGGGGAAGAGGAGAATTTTGCTCACACACAAGAACAGAGGTCTGTGTGTGTGTGTGTGTGGTGTGTGAAGTGTATGTGTGTGTAGTGTGATGTGTGTGATGGAATGTGTGTGTGGTATGTGTGGTGTGTGTGGTGTGATGTGTGTGGTGTGTGTGGTGTATGTGTGTGATGTATGTGGTGTGTGTGTGGTGTGTGTGTGGTGTGTGTAGTGTGTGTGTGGTGTATGTGTGTGGTGTGATATGTGTGGTGTGTGTATAGGAGACAAGCGATGCTCCTTTATCACAAGCCTTTAGGACCTAGGGGAGTAACTTCTAATGTTTTTTTTCCCTCTGGTAATCTCATTTACTCTTCTTGCAGTTAGGAGAGCTGATGAAAGTTAACCCTAAGTCACATCTGATTTCTTTTAATGTCATTATAGCACCAGTTGTTGGATAAACTATTATTTGACAAGCTCAGTAAAAGATCCTTCTCCTACTGAAAAGGAGATTATTATGTAAAGTTAAAAAATGACAGGCTCAGACAGACAAATGCCACATGTTTTGTTGCATATGTGGGAGGTAGTTTTTAACTTATGTACATTTGTGTATTATGTGTGGTGTGGTATGTGTGTGTGTATGATGTGTGGCATGTGTCTGCATGTATGTGTGGTATGTGTGTATGTGCATGGCATATGTGGTATGTGTGTATGTGTGTGATGCGTCTGTGTGTGTTGTGTGGCATGTGCATATGTGCATAGTGTGTGTGTGATCTGTGCGGCGTGTCTCTGTGTGTGATGTATTTGTGTTTATGTAATGTGTCTGTGTGTGTGATGTGTGGCATGTGCATATGTGCATAGTGTGTGTGGTGTGTGTGATGTGTGTGGTGTGCCTGTGTGTGATGTATCTCTGTGTGTGTGGTATGTCTGTGTGTGTGATGTGGGTGTTTGGTGGCAGTGGTGCTGGTTGTGGTTGTGGTGGTGGTGGCGGCGTGTGGGTGTGATGTGTGGTATGTGTGTGCATGTATGTGTAGTATGTATGTGGTGTATGTGGTGTGTGTGATGTGTCTATGTGTGTGTTGTGTGGCATGTGCATATGTGCATGGTGTATGTGGTATGTGTGGTGTGTGTGGTGTGCCTGTGTGTGTGATGTATCTGTGTGTGTGATGTGGGTGTGTGGTGGTAGTGGTGCTGGTTGTGGTGGTGGTGTGTGTGGGTGTGATGTGTGGTGTGTGCATGTATGCGTGTGGTGTGTAGCATGTGGTATGTGTGTATGTGCACGGTGTATATGGTGTGTGTGTGATGTGTGTGGTATGTCTGTGTGTGTGATGTGTGTGTGTGGTGGTAGTGGTGCTGGTGGTTGTGTGTGTGGGTGTGTAGAGCACACAGGTATAAAGAGGCCTATGTGAGCGAAAGGAGAGAGCAGAGATAGAAGAAGAGGGAACAAGAGCAGAAGGTATTGGAATATATATGTAATGAATGCAGGATGGGTAACTATTTGGGAGGGGGAAGGAGATCAGCAAGAGGGGAACAGAAAAGAACAAACCTAATCACATGCATATACATGCACACGCATGTACAGATACACACACACAATAAAACACATTTCTTTAAATGGTAACAAATATTAATTAAAATAAAGATCCTTTTCCTGACTTTGGTTTTACCCTAGTGATATATTAGGGATTTAACTAGTCCCAACAGGAATGCTTACTGATTTGACAAAATGATTAAAATTCTACTTATATGCTGTCCTCTCTTAAAATATTATCAGTTAAAAATATCTCCTAGATGTTGCAAAATACCCTGAGGAACTAAATGAAATGAATGACTCAAATACACCTTCTGCTGAATTGTACCACCCCAGATTTATGCACTGAGACTCTAAGCTTCAGTGTATGAGAACATCATGGAGGAAAGACCCATGAAGAAGACACTAAGTAGAAAGGGGACTTCTTGGGTAGCGTCCTTGTCAAAGGAGGAAACAGCTGTGCAAAGATACAACACAAATACTTCTGCCAAAGACAGGCCCTGTAGGACACAGCAAGAAGGTAGCCATCTGTAAACCAAGGAGAGAAGCCTGGGGGGAAATTAAAGCTGATAATAGCTGGTCTTGGCTTTCCAGAATGGAGAACTGAGAAGATTAACTTCTGATATTTCAGTCATCCCGTCTGTGGACATGTATTACAGAGGTCCCGGAAGGTGTGCCCTAACACCCCAAAGTAAATGTACCCAGGTAGAAATAAGTGACCAGACACAGGCGTGTAGTCTGCCTGCTTCCCTGTAGGTCTCACTCATTATTCGTTAAACACATCTGACCCAACATCCTAACACAGAACTTCAGTTAATTATTGCTGGGAAATCATCATCTCATCCTATCAGCCCCGGACATGGTTCTGCACATTGGCCGACAATTCTCTGTCATGAGTGAGACAGCAGGGACTTCATGACTGGTACCATCGTCCACTTGTCTGTGTGCTTTCAGACAGATTGGGTATCGCTGCCAAGATAGCTCCATCATAACACACTAGTTCCCCCTTCTCTGCCTTCTCAACCAAAGTTCTTCGAGTCTTCTTATTCTATGTGGAAGGAACAAAGCAAAATGTATTTTTAAAGTAATTTCCCACCTCTGCCTCACAGATATATTTCCTAGGGTCTCCTCATCCTTCCTTGACTGTTCTTCCTGTTGTTTAGTTGTTGATTTTTTTCTGTGACTCCCTTAAGGGGCAGTGGTCCTCAGGGCCCTGACCCCTCCTAGCAAGGATCTCACCCACCCAGAGGGCTTCAGTCTCCCTTCATGATCTCTGTCTGCAGCTCAGAAAACCCTCCTGAGCTTTAAGTATGCAGCCAGCTCCCCAGCTGACATTTCCATCTGGGAACCTCAAGACACCTCTGTGCTACCCCCTGACCTTAGAGGAGCATCTAATCATTTGGCATCAGAAAGTGACATTGTTACTTGCAGAGTATATGCTCGAGGGCTATACAATTGAGTCACAAACATGCAAAACAAAGTTTCATCATATCGTTAAGTTTCTGAAGTGGTGTGTTAGGTTGCTTTCACACCCCTCCTTGGCTGCATGTGACCTTTAGGGTGTAGGTTGGGCATGCCTGCAAGTGAACCAAAGCAATATTTGATTAATGGTTGCTATCTGTCTTCCCTAGGTCTTCTGGACCCAAACACCCCTCACACCTGCCTTGTCAATATTAATCGAAGTCAGCACCCACTTGTGCCTGGATTACCGAAGACCACTCTTAGCAATTCTTCTCACCCCAGCCCTTGTTTCTATTCCAGTCAGTTTCCTTACTGATTGCAACCTTCAAGACCACACAACATATCATGTTGCTCCCCCGCTGGGGGCCTTTGCAGTTTCTGTTACTCGTGGTTCTCCAGTGAGGTACTGTAATATAATTGGAACAAGCAGGGGCTCTTGAGTCACTTACCGTGTGGCACTGAGGACATGACCTAATCCCATTTCCTTGCCCATAACTTCTGAGCAATAATAGTAATAGTAATAATAATTATAATAACAATAATACAATGACTTCTTCTGAGGGTCACATGAGTTAACTTGTGGGACGCACTCAGAGTGCGACCTGGCAAACAGTGATCTTGTATGAACATGAACTTCTATTATTAATAAAGTCCAATTTCTGGCCACACCCATCACCTTTCTCACCAAGCTTGCACACATTTGATGCTTCTGCCATGTTTGGCTTTCTGACTGTTTTAGACAGGGCATTCCTGGCTGAGCCCCAAACGCTCCATGTTTTCCTAACAGTGCAGTTGACAGCTTCTGATCATCCCTCAGTAGCTGCTTTCTCTGAGCTCATGCTCTTAAACCCACTCACAGAGGAGTGCCGGTGGCCTTTGACTTCTTCCACTCCTTGCTCACCCATTTGCTCTTCTCCACACGTACAACTCAGATTGTTAATCTTACCAGTTGTCGTCCACTCAAGTCAATACTTTCATGAGTGGCATGCTGGAAAATCTTCCAACTGAATACTTACCAAAGTCCCACCATGGCCCACTATGAACATTTTCTTTCCTATAAACTTGGAACATTCCACTTACTAATTATTAATACAGCACCCCCAGGGAAGATGAGTACAGAAACTCGGTATCAAGGGTGGAGAACTTTCTAGAGTGGTGATTCTAAGTCACAGAGCACTGTAATTTTTTTAACTGTAGATAGTCACTATTAGGGACTGGATTCACGATCCCAGTAGGGGGCAGCAGTGTGCATGTGGCCAGCACATTGATTTTGCAACCTCCTGTTAGAACTATTTCATACATGGACTCATGAATTACAGGGATTCAAGTGATGCCCACGCAGAACAGTGACATGGGGCCTTCACATCTGAAGAACACAAATGCCCATACTCTCATGTCCAAGAAGCTGATTATTCTTGGTCATACGTGACCCTTGGGGCCTATGGTGGTATACCAGGCACTCATATTACACCACACTTTCACCAATATAAAATGGACCTGAATGGAAACCTAGGTGTTGGTTTGTTTTTTCTCTGTGTGGCTGCAACAGAGTTACGAGAAAAATAAGATGTTGTCTCCCAAGAACCAGTTACCTTTTCAAGATCTGGTTCTTCCAAGCCCAGTGCTAACTCGTTGTTGTCCATCACCGAGGAGGCTGCCACGTCCAGTGGGGTGGACCCCCTCATTGATGGGGAAGCTGAGGATGGAGCAAAAGAAGCGGAGCATTAAGGCCAGCTAGGTCAGATTTTAGAGTGCAGTGCATGGATGTGGACAGGAGAGGGCAGCAAATACATTGAAACCTGGCCGACGCTGCACAGAGACATGGGGCTCAGCTTTACAAAAGCCTTGTTTGCTGTCCTTCCTTCTCCTGCTCATCACTGTTGGGAACACTAACTAAAACAGAATCACCCTACAAAATGGGTTGTGGCCACATAGTTTCAAGTACCCTCCTAACACAAAACTTCTTGGCATCTCCATTTTGTGATCACTCCAAAGGCTCAGGGGCCTCCTTCATTGGGCCCAAAGGACTTGGAAAATTCTGGGGCTAACACTTGGGGTTTAAAAACAGCGTCAAACAGCACAAGTCCATATAGTTAAATTAGAGTACCAATGCTGTCTCTGATACATATTTTTGATTTACAATTATGAAAAACTTCAAGCGACATTTTACAAAAAACCCAAAAGTAACAACGAAAAACAAAAATGCAAAAACAAAAATAACAACAACAACAAAGCTAATAGCCTGAGGTTGTATTTGATAAACAAAAGGAAAGTGAGATTTCACATCTCCAGTGTATGTTTGTGTAAACTCATTTGGTTTATGTCCAGCATGGGGAGCCAGGCAGAAACGTGAGCTGCATTTCTCGCAGCGGTGCTAAACTGCTGTCTCTCCATTTCCATTCTCCCTAGCTGCTCTTGGCCAGGCTGCTATGCAGCTAAGGGCAGACTTTGCTGGTTGGCTGGTGGGCCAGGAGGGAATCCTGCAGCCAACTTGCCAGGAAAGGATTGGATCCATGACCTTGGTCTTAAGCGCTCTGCTCACTGATGAGCTGAGTGGGCTGTGAGAGAATTTGTCCTTGGAGTAATCCTCCATTCCAGGCAGCATCTCACAAACTATGGGCCACTGCACCCGAGAGAGGAGACTGACTAGGCCCCACAGGCAGTTGGTAGAACATCTATAGGGAAAGTGGAGCCCACAGACATGCTTTCACACACTTGTTTGTGGGACAGGCTGGTCTTGTTTCGCACTTACAAGCATCATCACATACAGGCTGATTCTTTGCCTTTTCTCCTAAGGAGTCAGGAGGGAGAGTGGACCGCCTAGGTCCAAAGCTGGAAGTGATACCGTGTGCCACACATACCTAGGCCCACACTGCTGTTCTCCAGCAGGTAGCTTAGATGCTCAAACATGGCCTTCTGATTTTGCCGGCTAATTCGACAGAAATAGCAAAGGAAGCGACAGCAGCTAGCAACCATTTTGGGGAAGGCAATCTGTGGGCAGAAGCAGGAAGTATTAGAGAGAAGAATCTATCATGAGGCCTTCGTGACCAGTTGGGGCTTTAAAGGAGGCTTAGGTTGAAGTCTCACAAGCTATGAATTGTTTGGAACATGAACTTTTTCCTTACACCTCTTCTGCCTAAGATGTTTCTAGGAAGGACAGAATGCCTAAGAATCTTGCTATAGTCCCCAAGACCTGTCCTTCTAAGGAAAACATTTATCAGTCATTACCCGCCTCCTTACACGTCCCACAAAACTGCACCACCACATGGCCACTGCTTCTGGGTGGAGTGAGTAGAACGTGGGACAGTAACATCAGAAACAGGGCTGGGGATCACAGAAACACAGTGCCCAGCAGTCCATCAAAATGCAGGTCCTCTGGGCCAAGGGTGGGCCCCACAGTTAAAGCCTGAAAGGCGCCGGGTGATGGTGGCGCATGCCTTTAATCCGAGCACTCGGGAGGCAGAGGCAGGCGGGTCTCTGTGAGTTCGAGGCCAGCCTGGTTTACAGAGCTAGTTCCAGGACAGGCTCCAAAGTTGATATTTCCTGTTTCTGTGACCCCCAAGTAATGTGGCCTCAGTCACTGCTCTTCTACTGGTGCCCAAGGCACTTGTCATCACACACATACGAGTTAGCATGGAGGTGCAATCATTCATCACTTGATTTGCTTGCCTTCCCTGCTTAACAGAGGGATTAGTGTATCTGTGGCAAGCTATAGCTTATTCTGGATCTTACAATGCTCAATGAACAATGTCGGAATCCTAGAAAGATCTTAGCTTCCTCCCTTTAGAATCACGGGAGGAGCTCTAAGAAATAGTTCTCAAGTCTGCAGTCATTGTGGCATCCAGATGTGCTGAGGGTTCTGTGGAGAGATTTAACTTTTCCAAGATGATGGATTGTGACCTGGAAGTATGAGTCGAATAAACCCTTTTCTCCCCTAAGTTGCACTTGGCCAGTGTTTTTATCACTGCAACAGAATAAAATGAGAACACCACTTACTCCTGGGATTGTGGCACTCTAGAAATTGTGGCGTTTGAAACCACACTCCACATTTTGCCTTCAGAAGTCACGCAGTCTAGATGAGTTGGTGGATAAAATGCTTCCTGCACTGGTGTGAGGACTCAAGTTCTGATCCCTGTCACCCACATAAGCAAAGTGGGAATAAGCCCACCAATAATCCCACCATTCAGGGGGCAGAGAGAGGGGATCCCCAGAACAAGCTGCTTAGGTAGGCGATTTGAATTTGTGACATCTGAGTTCAGGGAAAGACCCTGTCTCCATAAATAAAATGGGGGAGCAATCTAGGAAGAGAGTTTATGTCGACTTCAGGCCTCCATGTGTATATGCATAATTGTGCATACACGCCTACACACGTGCATCCACATGTATGTGAGCATTCTCATGTATATGCATGTATACTACATATATACACACATGCAAAAGCAACAAAAAGAAACCATTCATTCTAAGTAAGATCTCCTGAAAACTGGAATAAATTCCAAGTTGCACCCTATGCCAGAAGCAATGGTCCCCTTCTTGGATCCTTTTGGCTCTGTAAAAATCTTTTCTCCCAGGGGAAAAACTGAGGCAATAGATACCCAAGCGAGTACTCCTGCCCTGAGAGTCAAGTTCTTGATAAGTATGGCATTACCTGTGATTTCTCTGTACCCAACACGTTCACCATCACCTCCATCACCGTCTCATGCATGCCAAGGACTCTCATTAGGTTGGGGTGCTGGTAAAAGACCTTGTTGTTCATTATGTCCCTAACAGAAAAACAGGAGGGAGAAAGAATTCAGCACCTGTTGCTCTTCTGCTCTGAAAATCCAGGGATGAGAACACACAAACACAATTTGGGTCGAGGAATATTAAAATGATAGGCTGAGAAAAATAATAAGAAGGCACTAGGTCACAAAATGCATATGGATTCTTTTAGCTGACATCAAAAAGAAGCACAAAATATTTCTAAGTGCCTTTTCTTTTTTAAATGTTTATTTCTAATAATATTTAAACAATTCTCCCTTTAATTTTTTTGCTTATAATAAATTCTAAGACCGTCTAAATCACCGGATTTTTCTTTCTCTGTGTACCCCGGAACTTCTTTTCTTTCTATGTGCTGTGCTTCTTTGTACTCAGTTTCTTAATGACAGAACTACACGTTTTTCTTATACCATAGGTTTGTGGATACCATTCTGTCTTCAGAAAGCAATGGCACGAACACGCAACAACATCACACCTTCACATTACTTCACACAATGTCACACGACGATGCTTAGGCAAATAGAAGTCTGGAGATGCAACAGTTGCCTGAAACTTGGCTGGAGGGGGAGGGCCTATTTCTGCAGCTCATTTCCGTCGTATAAAAGTCTCTTCATTTCTATTACAATATTCATCTTTGCAAGTGAATTTGGGGAATGCATGCATGCACATACCCTTTCTTTCATGAGAAGCATGCAAACCACTTTCCTGGTCCTTAGTGATGCTTCTGTAGTTTGCTAGCCCAAGGATGGGGAGGAATGTTGCTTTTGAGTTTAATCATGTGACACTGTGGGCTGACCACTGAACCTCACTGGCACTTCTTTTCTCCTCTATGTTCTGCACTGAAAGGAAATTCCCCTGGCACCAAGGTTGCCGGGAACTGTCTTGTCTCCACAGTTCGTGAGGCAGATCCATGAGCTACTGTCATAGCTCAAGGCATCTCAAAGAACAAACAAAATCAATCTACGTTTTAGAACTGGGAAAAAGGGGCCAGTTGGGAATATCCCAGACGCCTCTGAAGATGCCCAGCCAGAGGCTCCAGTGATCAAATGGTTTCTCTCTCAGGTTAAGCACACTGCCCTCTCCTCCAGACTTGTTTTCATGACCCCATGTAGGCTATTTTCGTAGGAGTCTCTAAGAATCCTGTTCATTTCTTTTAGTAATGCTCTTTCACCCTGCACAGCAGGCAGTCTGGCGTCTCCTGTCACAGAGGTAGCTCATGCAACAAGGATGTACTGCCACAAGGAGAGAGAAATCTCTAGAAAACTGCACTTGCTGTGAGTGACCTACCCCAGCCCGTTGATCATGAGAAGCTCCTCTTCCTTGCCCATCCTGACACTGAGGAGGGACCGAATCTGGCCCAGGGCAGCCAGCAGGTTGATGGTGTCGCTCACGGAGGCCTGGCTGATGGTGTAGGTCTTCCGCAAGGCCTGTAGTAACTCCCCGATGCTGTCATACTGTCTCCGGAGGAGGTTGAACATAATCCTCACCAACTCTGCATCCTGGATTTGGTTCTCCTGGGCCCAGCGGATCATTGTCTGGGAGACTAGTTCCTTCAGTGTTGCTGGAGGGAGAATAGGAGAAGCCACTAACCATGGGTGCTCAGAGCAGACAAAGTTAGGTGGTACAGAAATTCTCCTCAACTCTCAGACATATCAATAGCTTGTTCAGGCTAAAATCTTTCTTATTTTAAGGTTGAGTCATGGCATATATAAAAGTAGAATATATCATCAAGACATAATGCCACCTATACCACAGTAAAATAGCACAATTATATTCTGAAAAATGCAGTTATTTGATTGATGTTTGGATTCATACTGAAAATTGAATAACAAATAAGACTTTGTCTGTGCCTTCAGGGAGCTCATAAGCCAGTTCTGTACATTTTTACTTTGTGATAAAATTTTATTGTTATTGCATAATATAATGCAATAAATGCTACAACGGAGGTACTTACAAGTGCCACGAGACAGGCTGCAGAGCAGCTGTTCTGGGTGAGCCAAGGTGTGAGGGTAAAGCACTGGCCCAGGCTTCTTTAGAACAAAGCAAATGAAACATTGGTACTTACCATCGTAACTACTGTCTCTAAATATATTAGAGATAATCCATGGCAGGGACTGAGCAACAATTCAAGAACAATAAAAGCTAACAATTCAAGAAAAACAAAACTACCTCCATAAGCTCGGAGAGAAAGAAACCACGATGGTGTTGAATTTGGGATTTATTGGGGTTCATAGCCAGGTCCACAAGTACAGAGGAAATCAGCTAAAATGAGACCAGCTGAGAGCCTTGTGGTGGATGGACCACATGGCTCCGATAACTGCTGACTAGCTTCGCTTTGGGAAGAAACTAAGAGGCACAGGCTGATCTAAGTTCAGGAGGTGAAAGGAGACATGCCGGGACAGCTGGGGAGGCAATTTTCACCCCTTCATTGCCTACACCGTTTCAGAAGATTCCACAACAGTGGAGAGAAATACTGATTAAAAACCGTAGTTGTGTCCAGATCTCACACCGGCATCACACTCCTGGAGGGTATGGGTTGTACCAGATCCTTCATTCAGGCCAGGTGGTAAAACTAGAGCTAAGAGGACAACTAAAGACGTTCAATCCACCTGTGAAAGGATTAGGAAGGCACTCAGATGGATGCCTTCTGTACTCTGTCATTTCCAATGGTTAAGTGTTCTACTCCACATTACTATACATAGCAGATGTCGGTTCCACATACACTCTTGGCTCTACTGTAGGCTATAAAAATAGAACTTAGTCACCAAAGCTCTAAAGGATCTACATGTAAAGGATTAATTTAGCTTGCTGCTGTGTCTATCAACCCTGTGGGTGTTTCAGGTTCAGGCAGGAGACATAAGTTGAAATAATTAAAAAAAAAAAAAGGATACACAGGCTAGAGAGAAGCACAGTTAAAAGATCTTGCTGACCCTACACCCAAGGCTCAGGAAATATCAGGGGAGAGGTAGTGGAAAGATCCTAAGAGCCAGAAGTTCAGGATGACCACTACTAGATACGGTCCCCTAGGCATGACAGGGAAAATAGAACTATGAAATATCCACAAGCATAATCACAACAGCAGCTGACGTGCCAACGACAAGGGAAATTCCACATGCTCCTATCCTTAGATGAAGAGCTTTGGGTAGTCAGTATCTGCAGGAAGATGGAGGATTAGTTTTCTCCAGAAATGAGTTCCTGCATAGGATATCCAACCTCAAGTGGTCATATACATGTATCGATAAGCAAGAAGTGCATATGAGTGGCACTTAAGAGAGGGGGTAGTTTCTCTCTCTCTCTCTCTCTCTCTCTCTCTCTCTCTCTCTCTGTGTGTGTGTGTATAAAATAATAATTAAAGAAGAGACCATGAATTTGAAAGAGAGGGGCTAGGAAAAATTTGAGGTGAGAGAAAAAGTGAGTGATGTAGATAAGTATTCATGTATGAAGCTCTCAAAAACTTAAAAAGTCTTGCTTAGTAGGGACTTAGCAGTAATATCTGTTAGCATCTGTACCGCCTGGGGGGAGGATAAACTAGTATTAATGGGCTGCGTTGGGCTTTTCTCAACAAACTATTTCCCTGTTGAATATTGGCAAAGTGATTCTATCAGCCCTGAACCTCCCCCCGGCATCCCCAAATGTCACAGACTATTACTAAGGCTGTTAGTTACTCTGTAACCCAAAGGGAAGAGCCTGTTGCTGAAGATGCAACTACTTATGTCATCAAACGTGGGAAAATCAAGCTGTAATCTAAAGAGAATGTTCATTCCTATTGACTGGCATTCATGGCAACGGAACGTACTTACACACTACCAGAGGAGGAAAGTCATCATCAGTACCACTAAGATACAAACCTGAGACCTACAAGACTGCAGGATATCCTGGTGCAATAGTGACATGATGATATGTGAATGGTCACCTTTTAGATGGACTTACGGGCCACTCTATGAGAGCCCAAGAACCTTAGATTAGATAGGTCATGGGCCTAGAGGAATACCTGCCACTATAATTCTGCTAAAGGAATGTTGCAACGAAATGGCTCCTAATGACATCGCTATACCCACAGATCAGTGCCTTGCTCAGCCCTCATCAGAGAAGGCTCTTCCTGCAGTAGATGTAATGAAAGGGATCCACAACTGGGAGATGCACAGAGTGTGAGAGACTTTGGAGCACCCAGTCTTAAATGGACCATTTTCTTTTTAATTAACTGCCCCACTCAAGGCTCAGGGACCTATGTGGAAGAGAAGCCAGAAATGCTGTAAGAGCCAGAGGTGACAGATGACTCAAAGAAAACAGCATCTTCCAGACACAACAGGGCTGATGTACATATAACAGCACTCATGAGACCTGCACAGGTTCCAACCAGATACAACCCCAGCACTGAGAAAGCGAAGTGGATGCAAAATCCCACCCATAGCCAAGGAGCTTCCTGCAATTAAAGGCTGGAAAGGGAAAGTCAGGTTTCTTCAAGGGAATGCTACTGGAAATACCACCCCCATTCCAGGACAGGCCCCATACTGAGAGTAGTCGGTCAAGAAAAAAAAACAGAATTCATGCCTTTTTTGTGTTTGTTTTTTTTTTTTTTTGTTGTGTTACTTTTTTGTCTTACTGATTTTCTTTGGTTTCGTTCAATTGTCTATTTTAGTTTTCTTTTTTTCTGTTTTGCTTTTTGTTGTTTTCCTCTGTTTGAGAGGTGGGTAGGGAGGTGGGGAGGATCTGGAAGGAGTTAAGGGAGGGAAAAGAACATGAAAGAAATATATTGTATAAAACATTTTTAAAAATTAAAATTGAAAAAGAAACGTTTCCCAGGTGTATCTATTCTTATTTCTTCTAGTTAAGATAGTAAGAACAAAGGAAATATGCAAAACTGCAGAAACTCTTGCACCTGATACCAGTTGTATAAGCGCACACTCTGGTATGAAGTTCTCACCGTACATGGCCAGATCCTCCACAGAAATAACACACAGCATCACAGTCCCTGCCACACAGGAGAAGCCATGATCAGGTGGAATCATCAGCTCAAGGCTACTTCATTTGCAATAGGAAATTTGCAGTCATGAAACCAAATAAATGTTAGCATTTCCTTAACCTGGCTTTGTCTCTTTGAGTTGTTGGTCAGGGAGTCCAAGAGACTTCCCAAACTGTATAGGCTATATATAGGACAGAACACACATAACACATACACACACACAAGCACACACACACACCCCACACACATACACCCCCCACCCCCCACAATACACCCCCTACTCCACACACATATACACCCCACATGCATACACCCCCCACATACCACACACACACACACACACACACAGAGAGAGAGAGAGAGAGAGAGAGAGAGAGAGAGAGAGAGAGAGAGAGAGAGGTCATTGTCCTTGGTTCCTTCCCAGAACTTGAAGGTAGACACTAATGGTGAAGATACCACATACTTTGGACATGGGACCTGGAGGAACGGAGCTCATGCTGCCTTGGAAGCCTCCTTCCTGAAAACCAGTTCTCCTATTACTAGAAGGTGCTGTGCAAACTGCCAAAGGAGACAAACAAGCAATAGTCCTACTTAGCTATAAAGCCTGTGATCCACAACAATGAACGCGACAAGATATCCCACAGGGTGCAATAATGGCACTTATATTTTAGGGGTAACCAAGAGCCACGTAATTGGACTGCAGACCCACACAACAGAAAGGAATTCATTCTCGGTACTATCAGCAAAACCAATTACTCATTGCTGGTAAGGTCATGGTCCCTAGAGGAAAACCCACTACTGCCACTTTCTTAAACAGTATAATATCCAAATATATCCTAAATGTTTATCTTTATTCCTACAGATAAATGTTGCTCATTCCCTTCATCAGAGAAAATTATTCTTGTAGCAGATGGATACTATCACAAAAGTCACAACTGGTTAAGATGCCGAGAATTCTGTGGGTGCCAACCCTAAATGATACATCTATAGTACAACCTCTGTATCTAGGTCCCAGGAATATAACAGAAGAGGGAGCAGAAAGGTTGGAAGAGTCAGAGTACAATAACATCTTCTGTTAAGCAGTGCCTTTTCTATATGACATGAATGCTGCACCCATGAACTCTCAACAGCATAGTTGCCTAAACAAGACCTGAATGATGACAATATCAGTCAACATGCCAACATGAACAAGGAAGGCTCATGGAGCTCCACCCTAGATGAAGCATACAGGTAATTACTGGCTATGGAGAGAGGGAGATTAAGTTTTCTCTAGGGACAAGTCCTCTGATAGGATCTCCAATCCTCAAGTAGTCAGCCCTAGACACATGTACATATAAGAAACACTAAATGGACACAGCAGGTTGTATTGAGAAATACACATGTATGCATAAATAACAATAACAATAATAATAATGAGGAGAGCATGAAGTTGGGAGGGAGTATGGGGTACAGGAAAGTTTGAGGGGGCAAGGGAGATGTATAAATATGAATATATTACTTATGTATAAAAATTACCAAAAATAATAAAAATCTATATTCAAAAGAAATATGCTTTCTTTACTGTGTTAGATCTTCTGTATATCTGAACATATGAAAAT